TCCGCCTCCGCTGCCACCTCCGCCCCTGTCACCACTCCCAACACCGCTGTCACCTCCACCACTGCCGCCACTAGCCTCTCCAGTCGCACCTCCACCGCCACCACCACCACCCCCACTCCTGCCACTCCTGCCCCTGCGTCGTCCGCCTGAAGCAGACGCAGCCCCGACCTTCTCAGCACCAAGGAGGTCGACAGCAGCAGCAGAGGCGACAGAGGGGAGGAGGGGGGAAGGGGAGCACCCCTCGAAGAAGGGGCCGCGGGGGTCGCCACGAGAGGTGCCTACAGCGACGATACTAGCCTCGGCTGCAAGCAGTTCCTTCTCGAGGAGGGCTATGGTGAGCTCAGTGGGGGAGCGAGAGAGGAACTGGTCCCTGACAGGGCGCAGAGAGTCAGGGAGGCGGGTGACAACGTGGTAGAGAGTGATCCAGAGCGGGGGGGGGTTGCTAGCGAGGAACTCATCAGGCATGGCAGCGCGAAAGCGAGCCTCACTAGTCTTAAGGTGGGTGATGAGGTCTGCGACAGTGTGAAAAGAGGCTAGGTCGGGGAACAGGTAGGGGAGAGTGAGGCGGCCTAGAGTGGCAGAAGCGGGTGAGGAGTAGCGGGCCACTACAGCTGTGTAGAGGTCCTTAGCAGTCTTGCACTGGCCGAAGTGCTCGCGCTCATCTAGCGGCAGGGAGTTGCGAATAGCAAAGCGAGCGTGCGCGTCACGGGTCTGCCACTGTGAGCGCTCAGTTGGGGGGGCAGTAGCGAGTGGGGCGGTCGCATGGCCGAGAGCGTGATCGTACAGTGAAATATCTTCCTTGGCAGTGAGCTGTAGGAAAAGGTGCAGATCATCTAGCCAGGTTTCGAATTTGACCGGACGGCCCTCGGCGTCGAAAGCTAGAACAGGAGGACTAGCCATAGCGACAGCGGCAGTAGTAGAAGCAGTAAAGTCACTGAACAGGCGTGCGCAGGGTCAGCAGGGCCGGTGGGGCCTACGGACTGTAGTGGCGCACAAGCAGCAGTAGCAGGAAGTGTAGTAGTAGGATCTGCAGTGGTGCACAGGCGCAGCAGGCGGCAGCGAGAGCCGGCGCAGCAGGGGCGGGCTCAGCAGCGGTGATACGCGGGCGGCAGCGGGCGCAGCAGCGGCGGTGCGCGGGCGGCGGCGGGCTCAGCAGCGGCGGTGCGCGGGCGGCGGCGGGCTCAGCAGCGGCGGTGCGCGGGCGGCTGCGGGCTCAGCAGCGGCGGGCCGGGAGCAGTGCGGGCAGCGTGCGGGCCGGCGGCGGTCAGCGCACGAGCCGCGCAGGCTCAGCGCGGGCTGCGCGGGCTGCTCGCGGGCTGCGTAAGCGGGTCGCGGGCGGCTCGCGGGGGTTCGCGGGCAGGTCGCGGGCTGCTCGCGGGCAGTTCGCGGGCTGTGCGCGGGCTGCGCGGGCTGGTCGCGGGCTGCGCAGGCGGGTCGCGGGCTGTGCGCGGGCGGTTCGCGGGCTGTGAGCGCGGCGCGCTGTGCGGTTCGCGGGCGGCGTGACGGGGCCGATCGGGGCGCTAAGGGGCGACGCGACGGGGGCCGTGAGAGGCCGCTAAAAAAAAAATTTCGACGGGGCCGCAGGGCCGCTAGATCGTGCTAGATCGACGGGGCCAGCGGGGCCAGAAACAAGCGAAGGTAAGTCGGTGGGCCCTAAGAACAGTCCTAGCGAAGGACCTGCTCTGAAACCATGTCAGAAATAACTGAGCAGGAATGAATGAACTAGCACAGAGTTTGGTACAAGTAGGAAACCCTAACTTTGTGTACCCCCTAAGGTGTAACCCACTACAGCCTACACAATATAAACATACAATGTTTGACAGTTTCTAAATATTCACCCATAGTTTTGCAATGATTTCATAAACAGTCATGTTATTCCGTAATGAAAAACTAACGAGCTTGACATATTCCTTAACACATGTCCCCATGTTTTATGAATGTACATCTATACACCCTTCCGACGTTAACGCCGAATCTTGTTGTTAATGAGCGAGCAGTTGTTCGCGCTTCGTAAGGAGTAATGCGAGTGTTACAAGCTCGCGACTTATGAGTCGTGCTAGTGACGAGACAAGCGAAGTGATCAAAATGTGAGTTCGGTTACTCACGTTCTGAACAGCGCGAACAGCTCGGATGCAGGGGTGCTCACGCCTCGAGAAGTGAGGCACACGTGGCGAGCTCTGCTTCAGTAAGTGCGATGTTGAACGGGAATTGATCAGACTGGGGCCCCGGGTTAGCAGAAACAGTGCCAACTTGGGGCCTCGTGAGTCGCGACCCTACGAAATAGGCCCGAAGCAAATCACAAGACTGGGCAGCAGGTCCGAACCTGGCAAACTCGCCAGGTCACCACCTACTGCCTTGGGTTTGACGGAAATCGCTAGCACCCCACACCGCTGGAAGCACAACAATCCGTCAAACCAACACGAAGTGTTTCTGCTTTCTAAAGTTCGCCAAACCCTGGTGTTTTCGCTAAGAGCAATTCGCACATCGAGAGTTTGACTTATGGGACCTCCCTCACAACCCCTAGACCGTCACGCTTTAGTGTCTGCATCTTGCTGGAGAGAGAGAGGCGTCACATTCTAGTCTAAGGTGAGCTCAGATTCCTATGCATCGATGTATTCGCGACGATTTCCTCCTTTTTTAGATTATTTAGTTAGTATTTGTCATACCGCCTCAATGCTCTTGCGAAATCGATCATTCTTCCGCCCATGATTAGTTCTTTTTGTGTCACGTGGCATTGATAGTACTGTAACTCCTTATCAGCTGTTTCTAGACCATTCTACAAACGACAACACAGTCCGAAGTTCCCCAACTCCTCGTTCTTTCCTTTTTTTTGTTTGGTTGATTGTTCAATCCTCTTATTTTCTCTTCTTCATGAATCATGTCAAGATGAACAACTCCTCGGTTGCTTTGGACTTCCCTGTGGGGAAGCGGTATGCTTCATCGGAAGATGCGAAACATGACATAAGGTCGCAATGCGGGGCGACAAGGTGCGCTTTCAAGTTCGTTGCAAACAAACCTCATAGGGTGGAGGCACGGTGTCCATCTTTTGCGTATAGGAAGAAAGGAAGGGCTGCTGTCAGTAATGAACCAGAAACGGAAGAGCCTTGCCCTTTCATGATCAGTGCTAGGTTGTGTATAGATGGCTCGCTTCGAGTTGTCACGGCAAACCTGCAACATGGTGCGTACTGCACGGTACATCCCAAAGGAGCTACACGAGCAGATCTAATTGGTTTCGCAAATACTATTCCCAATGTGGCCTTAGATCCTAGAACGTTGGTCAAGGAAGTCCAGCAACGTACGGGTCAGAGGTCGTCCTACACGACTTCACGAAGAGCAATACACGACATCAAAATCGCGGACCCTCAGCAGAATGATACTTCATTTCAGTATGTGAGGAGTATTCTTGAGGTTTTTGTGCGAGACAATCCTGGAAGTATTGTGTCGCTATCCAAGCGCGATAGTCGTTTCTACAGTGCATGCGCTATCCCGAGTGTAGCCCGTTCAACAATGTTGAGCGCCATGCCGATACTAATCATCGACGGGTGCCACAACAAAACGGTGTGGGGGGGTCAGACGATCAACCTTGTTGTTTTGGATGGTGACGGTCACTATGTTTCAGTTGGAATTGCGTTCGTCGAGTCCGAGAGCAATGAAAGTTGCGCCCTTCCAATTCGGCAGCTTTTGAAGGTGTTTCCCGAGCTCAATTCCCCGGAGTGGGTCATAAAGCATGACCGTGGTTCTGGATGGAGTTCGTGTGCAGAGTTGCTTCAGCATGCACACGAGTCTTACTGCATTACCCACATTGGGCGAAACTTCACCAAGAAATTTGGGAAGGACCTGAGTTCGTCCATTAAGGAGGCCGCTGAAACACTGAACATCGAGCTGTTTGAGTTTCGAATGGATAAAATAGAGAATGCGTGTCCCGGTGGTAGGGCTTATCTTGCGGGGGAAAGAGGTGAGTTGCTCTCAAAGTGGGCAACCGTCCATTTCCCTAGGTCTAGGTTCGGGGTCCTCACATCAAACCCCGTGGAGTCACAACATGCATCTATGCATCATTTGCGCGATAGAACCATTGCACAAGTGCTTCTTGGATGGATCGAGACTCTACCAAAGATTAGGCGTCGTCGGTTCCTAGAATACTCTCAAATGCCTGGCACGTGGACCAAGAATGCAACGGTGGTAATCTCAGCCAACAAGGATGACGCGTTAAGCTACGATGTGGAAAGCACCGGGACAACGACCTTTGCGGTTACCCACACCGGACGTCGGGAATCCCGTGTGGTGGATCTCGGGGAGCGAGAATGCAGCTGCAACTACACGAAGTACGTACATGTGTTATCATGTGTATATGGTCGAGATCTTGCCAACCTCCATTATTGTATTACGTGCATGCACCAAATTTGAAAGCTTGGGAATGTTTGTGCAAACTGGCAGAAATCTGAACATGTTTGAAGTATCCTTCCTTGTCCCTCAGCCCCCATCAAGCTCAACTTCCCCCTCCTCCTTCCCCCTCCTCCTTCCCCCTTCCACCTTCGCCTTTGTCCTAACCCTTCTTTCTCCCCCTTCGGCCTTCCCCGTCACCCCTCTACCATCTCCTTGCTACTGCAGGGAGTACGGGCTGCCATGTGTTCACATTTTTGCCGCAGCAGGGGAGAACAACCGCTTGCCTTTTGACATGGTTCATCGCGTGTTTCATCTCGATACCATGAAGGCCATGTATGGCGAGGACATGAAGCACATTGACCCAACATCCATCGTGCGAGATGGGGTTACTCTTCCACCTAAGTACAAGCGACGACCTGGAAGAAGAAAGAACAAACGGATGCGATCGGGTGGTGAAACCGATCCACAACGGATGCGGAGGTGCAGCAGGTGTAGGTTAAAGGGCCACAACATTAGCACGTGCGAGGATAGAGAGGAAGAGCGACTCGAGCAAGGGTTTCAAAGAACACCCCAGGAGCATCTTAGTTTCCAAACCACAACACTTTCTCGGATCTCCATCAACTATGTTCACTGTGAGGGATGTCAAACTCGACATAGGCTGGGGGGAGCTTGCCGTGGGGAGCATGGGCATGTACAGCACCAAGGACGGCCGCAACAGCGAGAGGATGGGCACTGGCAGGGACAAGGGCAGCAACAAGGGGAAGGGGAGCAGCAAGGACAGAGACAGCAACAAGGGGAAGGGGAGCAGCAAGGACATTGGCAGCAGCAAGAGCAGTGGCAGCAGCAAGGACAACTACAACAGCAGCAAGGGATTGGGCAGCAGCAAGGGACTGGGCAGCAGGGAGGGAATAGGCAGCAAGGGACTGGGCAGCAGCAAGGGACTGGGCAGCAGCAAGGGACTGGGCAGCAGCAAGGGACTGGGCAGCATCAAGGGACTGAGCAGCATCAAGGGACTGGGCAGCATCAAGGGACAGGGTGGCATGAAGGGAGTGAGCAGCAGCAAGGGGCTGGGCAGGAGCAACGGATTGGGCAGCAGCAACGGATTGGGCAGCAGCTAGATATTGGGCAGCAGCAACGGATTGGGCAGCAGAGAGGGAGGAGGCAGCAAGGGGCTTGGCAGATGCAAGATTTTCGGCAGCAGCAAGGGACTGGGCCGCAGCAAGGGATTGGGCAGCAGCTAGGGACTGGGCGACACCAAAACCGAGGTCAGCAGGATGGGATTGGGCGACAGGAAAGGACTGGGCAGCAGCTAGGGAGTGGGCAGCAGCAAGGGACTGGGCAGCAGCTAGGGACTGGGCGACAACAAAACCAAGGTCAGCAGGATGGGATTGGGCGACAGGAAAGGACTGGGCAGCAGCTAGGGACTGGGCAGCAGCTAGGGACTGAGGAACAGCTAGGGACTGGGCAGCAGCAATGGATTGGGCGGCAGGGAGGGAATAGGCACCAAGGGACTCAGCAGCTGCAAGATTCTTGGCAGCAGGAAGGGACTGGGCAGCAAGAAGGGCAGAGGCAGCATCGAGGAGATGGGCACCACCAGGGGCAAGGGGAGCGGCAGTTGGACGGGGGGGAGGAAGAGGATAGGGCCCATGAAGGGGATGAGCGGCAGCAAATGCAACCGGATGGACTGAGGCATCAACAATCTCAACGGAGTGGGCGGCAGGCATCTGGGCGACGTACCAGGGTTCAGTTGCAGGAGCAACGCTTAAACATTGAGCACGTTTGGGAGCATTGGGAAGGGGGCCCGCGCATGCAACAGGACGAGATGCAAGGTTGGAACAGGCAGTTGAGACACGGGCATCTTGTGGAACTGCAGACGCAAGTTCATCATCATGAACAGCAACTGCATGTAGAAGTGCAGGGGCAACAGAGGCAGATACAAGTTCATGAGCCTCATAGGGAAGGGCAGTTTCAAGAGCCTCAGCGGCATGGGCATGTTGAGCAGCCTCAAAGAGAAAGCCATGTACGGCAGCAGGGTCAGCATGCATCACAACGTGGAAATACACCGCCACATGAGTGGATTGTACACATTAGAGATCTTCCAGAGGGCGCGGATGTGGACAGTGATTCATCATGCTCAGAGGAACCTGAGGCTGAAGATGAGATTACGGCTGATGACACTTCCGATAGCGGGAATTCTGATGACGGGGGGGATAGCAGTTCAAGCGGGTCGGAGAGAGGAACTGAAGACCAGCTTAGGACTGAAGAGCAGACCATTGGTGATGGGGATTGGGAAGTTATGACTTTGGGTGAGCCGGCCATACAGCTTGAAAGATGGCAGCAGAGTGTGAATCCAGAACAGAATGGCGGTGGAGAGGCTACTGTGGATGGAGAAGAAGGGATGAGCATGTTAGGTGAAGCCATGGTGGGAATCGAGAGGTCGGGTGGTATCATGTCGGCAAGGGCAGATGTAGGCTTAGGGGTTACTGGCTTGAACACCGCCGCAATGCAGCAGGGAATAGATGTTCCATCTCCCTTAGAGGGAGATGTGGTGGCACAAAACTGGGGTCATTTAAGGGTTAGAGGCCAAGACCTGTCACAAGAGGATGCGGTGGCGGCACGTCGTGTAAGAAGACGCCAACGACTACGATTGCAAACGGAAGTGGTACCCGAGGACGGTGAGGAGCCGGAGGATGATGAACTTAATGGAGCTGAACAGTTGACACGTTCACGAATGGCTCGTCGTGGTAGGGGTCGGGGAGGCACCGAAATCAGAGCACAACGAACAGCACTTCAAGGGTCTAGGGTTCGCGGTACTGGACGAGGGCGCATGCAACAAAGGGTGCAGAATAGGCAGGGGGAATCGACGATTCACCACGAGAACCCAACAGACACCTCTGATTTGCAGCAGCAGATACACGTTCTACAAGTGCAATTACTCCAGCAACAACAGGTTCATAGCGTCTGGTGTCAGCAAATACAACAACAGCAACGCACAGCTACTTCGGGTGCAGCGGCAACACATGTGCATCAAGCATATGAACTCCCGTTTCCTAATTTATTTCAGGGTCAACATCTGAGGACAGACCAAAGTCATCCCCTAATGCATCCAATGCAACACCACGGCATGGCTACCGGGGCTAACCAAGCCCCATTCCAGTTTTTGTCCGTCCCTGATAACGAACGAGCCAATGTTTTAATGGGACAGCGTTTGCGACGCCAAGAAAGACGGCGTCTCCTGCAACTCAGCCGTGCAAGAAGACGGCATGATGTAGATCCGGTCCGAGTGAGGAAGAGATGGACATTCTACCCCGGCATAAGCACTGCTATAGGTGAGAGTGTGCGCGATTATGCTGGAAGGGTCTGAATGGAGTTGGATGGTGTGTTTCAAGTGGAGGGAAGGGAAGGAGATTGTTTGTCGTGTACTGGGAACTTGAAGTCCATCCCTAGCAGCACCCAAGAAGGAGCAGGTGGGGGTGAGACAATGTGAAGCAATAAGAGGGGAGGGCAGAAGACAATGTGCCGTCTCGCCCCCTCCTCACCCCTCCCGTCCCGCTTTTTCCTTTTCGCAGACAGTTGACTCGGAGCTCCAAACTCTAGAGAGCATGGCGGCCTCTGTGGCGGCTGTGTCTGGAGTAGACTTCAATTATCCCCCTTCCACCCCCACCCCTTCTCTTCTGTTCTCTTTGCTCGCAGTCATTTGACTCGGAGCTCCAAACTTTAGAGACCATGGCTGCCTCTGTGGCGGATAAGCTAGAATTCTTCCACGAGTGGTGAGTGGCAACAACACTAAACCCTAAAACCCCTCATGATTATCTTTGCGCTGCGGCGCTGCCTCATACCCCGCCGAGAGGTGAGAGGCAACCCTCGCTTTACCATGCTGGTGATATATAACTTGCGTGTCATGCGTCGATGTTCTTGTCAACTCACAAATTGTCGTACAGGCCGATTGTCTTACGGTATCACCATCTTGGTGATATGTTACTGCCATCTTGCTGTAGCCAATGGTCAACGCGTCAGCTTTGCTTTGCCCTGCTCCTCCTCTTTACTTCACTTGACCTGCTTCCGTTGCTGTACTTTGAATTGCAGGGAAACAAAGCTGCGGCAAATGGTCAGTGCGACGCACTTGAGAGTGGCGTGCACGAGTCTCACTCCTCTCCTCGCCTGCATTTCCCTGACAGCCAAGCCATGCCAACACTGTCATTGACACCCCATATTCACATCAGACCCACTTGCCCTTTCTTGTCATTCAAATCGCAGGGAACTGGAGTTGCAGCGAGTGGTCAATGCAACACACTTGAGAGTGACGGGCACGAGTCTCGCTTCTTTCCTCTACTGCATCTGCACTAATTGTGCCAGAACCTGTCTTTCCTTCCTCCCTTACTGTCGTGTGAATCGCAGGGAGTTGGAGTTGCAGCGAGTGGTCAACGCAACACACTTTAGAATAACGTGCATGAGTCTCGCTTGTCTCCTTGTCTGCATCTCCTTGACAGCCCTTCAGTTCTGGCACCTCAAATCCTTCTTTCACCCCAAAAAAACTCTTGTAACCCGCACCTGCTATCAGCGATACAATAACGAAATGCGTGGTGTTTTTTTCATGTGCCTACCGTCATCGCCCGGATATAAGACAGTGTTGAATAGTAGACAGGGGTTGTCTATTATACGGGTGTCTCTTATAAACAGGCTAGCCTCATTATAAGACACCTATTTGTGTGTACGGGTTAAGAAAGTGTAGGAGTTAGGGGCAAATGTATAGCGAGGGGGTATCTTCTAAAAATACAGATGTACATTTAGTACTAATCGTTTTACGCTATAAAAAAAATACACATTATGTAAAGACCCGGGTGCAATGAAGCTTTTTCCGATGACAAGACCCCCCCTTTTTTTTGTGTAGTTATCATAGCACCCTAGGGTGGTATATCCGGGGGAATACGGTAGAAGATTTTTCATCGAAGATTTTACAAGGGAAGCACTTGCATGTAAATCATATATGTATGTATACATATTCTGAAAGAATGTGGGTAGGTTGGTTGAAATTTCTCTAACAGAAAAAGGTCATGAACCTCCCCATTTTGTGCCCACTCATTTTATTAATTTTCATGTTTCAGCTCTTTGTGTTCTGGCAGTCTTATGTTTCCGTAATAATTCCGAGTTGTTTGTTACATGCTGCTTGTGCTGTATCTCGATCAGACTGTGTTGGTTTGACGGATTGTTGTGCTTCCAGCGGTGTGGGGTGCTAGCGATTTCCGTCAAACCCAAGGCAGTAGGTGGTGACCTGGCGAGTTTGCCAGGTTCGGACCTGCTGCCCAGTCTTGTGATTTGCTTCGGGCCTATTTCGTAGGGTCGCGACTCACGAGGCCCCAAGTTGGCACTGTTTCTGCTAACCCGGGGCCCCAGTCTGATCAATTCCCATGTTGAACTGCTCGGAATGCTGATGTTCGGTTCCCGCAATTAGTCCAACTCAGCTCGCGGATCGAGCTGGGTAACCTTACGCAACTTCAAACGGGAAGGATCTCAACCGTTCGAGATTGGCGCAAAGTGCAATTATCGAATCCGCACCATCAACAATGTTCGCGCGCGAAATTTGAAATATTTCGGCAACACATCGAGTGTGCGTCAGGTCACATAAGGAATAGGAGGGAACCTGAAAATCTATTCGCGCTATGAGGTGCGAATTTGAACACCTAGATCAAGGTAGGAGTATAATAAATGTGGCTTAGTATAAAATTGTTTGTTCTTGTTTGTTTTGAATATAAATTGAGTGGATTTTTGCTCACGCGCCTGCTACGACAATGCTGCCCTAATTCAGACGTTTTGACAACGCAGAGAAAGGGACATTTGCTTCTACAACCTTACTGCCATTGCAGTTCTCTCTTTACAAACTCGGACCCTTGGATAGAGGCTGACTCACGTCAGGTACCCAGGGAGCCTTGGAGGTGACCCCGAGAAGAAGCTTGCAGTGTCAGCAAAGCTAATAGTGGACAGAATAGTGTGTTTACTTAGTAACACAATCACAAGTGCGCAGAAGCAGGCAAGGCTATTGGCACTTGGGATTACGCACGGATTTCACCGTATACACCACTGTCGGCACTGTTGGTGCCGTATAATAGATATGTCAGTGGGAAAATAGGAAATAAGTGAAATAAAGAGAAGGCTCTAGAAAATAGAATAGTAGGCCGATTGAGATGAAATAAAGACCAAAATAAAGAGGAGAAAAATGAGAACAAGATAAAGGGAAAATATAATAATGGGGAAATATTATAACAGGGACGTCCTCTCACACCGGGGTTACTGGCCTTATGTCATACATATTATAGCACGCCATTGTATCCAGGTGATTATAATTTACTTTGAGCACATTTCCTTTCCTAGACCTGTAACACTTGGTAATACGAGCACCAGGTTTCGCAATCACGCTTAGCTGCTAGGCCTCCTAGAGCACGCTGAGGAGTCAAACTAGTAGGTAAAATGCTTATTTTGTTTTATGTTCGACTAGCCTAGAGTGTTGCGACTGGGGGCCCCACAATTGGCAAGGAAAATCGTCGACCGTTCCATGGCAAGAATCGACGGTTCTCGATTCTTTATGGAGGGCATTCCACATCGAACTGGCGAGCTGCTTCGGAAGAACGCATCATGCAGTTCCAAGAACTGTAGAGGAGTTCGCGACAATTTTTTTACTTTGCCGCGATGTTTAGAGTTCTGTTCGACGACAGCCGCTGGATTGGGAATCGACGTTCGAAATTATCCGCAGAGGAACTTGGAATAACGAGTCGCAAACGTCTGGCGGGTGGTAACCCGACTCTGTCGGCAGTGACTCATTTCGACCATTAGATTGTCGGACATGTGAGAGAACGACGAATTTGCTGGGCATTACTTGCTTGCCTTGACTTTATTATACTTTATCTAGTGTAGGTTTATTTTATCATGCATGCTTTTGCTTGATTTCCTAGGTTAGGTGCTTTCCTATATTTTATTATAGTTATAGCTGCGGAGATAACTCTGGCAACTGGAGCTTAGACTACGGGCAAGGCACGGGATAGTGTTATAGCCAAAATAAGATTCAATGTGCCTAAAACGAAAGATAGAGTGCAAAGTCGGATTTCTGCAACGGATTTAAACGTTCATAGCAATCTGGTCACAGCTCCAAATGATATGTTACAAATTGGATCTGGAACGCCTTGACGTTGTCTACAATAGGCAATTTAGATCGCACAATTTCATCAAGTATTGACGACGCAACATCAGTTTGAACGAACGGCACTATGGCAGCCACTATA